TTATTCTTCCCAACAAAGAATACCCCTTCTGATGGTTACCCATAAACTAAAATTGGCAGCTGAGGCACCAACCAGCGCTGATTCCACAGAAAGGCGCTCCTTTAGCTGGAAACAATGAACTCCTCTCTCTGTGCAGCCTCTGGAGATTGGGCAAGCTTGTCTCAGAGATGCTCTGGAATGTGTTAATGCACAGGGATTTCTTCCCTCTGTTTGTGTGTCAGACTGAACAGACAGCTGGCTGACCAGCATCTGCCTTCTCCCTTGCAGATTGTTGGTGCAAATGTGGACCTGAACAGGATGCTTCTTGACATTGACAACACCAGGATGACTGTGGATGACTTCAGACTGAAGTAAGTCTTTTCCTCCTCATCTCATGTTGTCTTTGGTCCCTTTCCTACCACAAGTTTGTATTGCCAGTCTTTGGAGGTACTGCAGTGTCTTGGCTCCAGCAGCAGAGAAGGCTGTTGGGAAGAGCACTGTGAGCAGGAATTTGTTTCTCGTTAGAATTTTGCTTCAGAGAAGTTGTTGATAAGTGCTGTTTATAGGAAACTTTCTGTTTCTCCATATCTGCTTTATAGGTTTATAAACTTTATCAGAGAAATCCTACAGAGTGATTTCACTGAAATCAAACAATCCTACTGGAGAGGGAAAGAGAATCAGGTCCTTGCTTTTAAGAACAAACCAATGGGACCAGTGACCAAAGGCGTACTGATGGGAACTGTGCCTAATGAAGAGAGCAGAGAGCTCTGGCAGCAGTTTTACTTTTTTTCTTGTCTGTGATTTAGGTATGAGACTGAGTACACTCTCCACCAGAGCGTGGCAAGTGATATTAATGGATTACGTCCACTTTTGGATCAACTGACTCTATCCAGATCGGACTTGGAGACCCAGTTTGAATCCCTGAAAGAGGAACTGATCTACCTTAAGAAGAACCATGAAGAGGTAAGTTTCTCTACACTTTAAAATAATAACTAACGAAAAATTATCACTCCAAGAATCTCCTGTGCATTTCTTCTGCTGGCAGCAATGAGATTTGGCTGCTGGGAGGATCTGTGGCCCTTCCTGTTCCTGTTTTTAAAGCTACAACATTTCTTCTCACCTTCAACCTTTCCAAGTTTTGTTTTCTTCTCTTTCTCATAGGAAATGAAAGGACTGCAAACTCAATCTGGTGGTGATGTCAATGTTGAGGTCAATGCTACTCCTGGCACTAATTTGATGGAAAAATTAAATGAAATGCGTTCCGAATATGAGCGGCTTATTGAGAACAACCGAAGAGAGGTGGAAAGCTGGTATGAAACCAAGGTAAAGCATGAGATTCTTTGGGCCAGTAAATCTTTCACAAAGATTCTGTTTGCACACAGTAGGGCACAGGCAACTTATCAGGTATTATACAAGGGACTACTAAGTGATTTTGGGTATGGCAAGAAGTGGAATCCCTGTGTTCCAAGAGCAAGGTGAATGAAACGGGTTGGGTGTGGGTGAACAGTGGCCTGGGGGGAATCCACAGTCAGTCTACATAACATCTCTATTTATACATATTCCTTGCTTCCTAAATGCTTTTATGATAACACCACAATGTCTTCTTGCAATCAGAAAGACCTGAGTTTTGTATGACAATTTTTCAGATGGAAGAAGTTAATCAACAAGTCCATTCAAGCGGCCAGGAGATACAGTCCAGCAACCAACAGATCTCTGAGCTGAGACGCGAATACCAAAGCCTGGAAATTGAGCTGCAGTCGCAACTCAGCATGGTAAGTAAAGGTGGCTGCTTCTGCTTCCCTGTAACACAGGCTGCAGGCGCCCTTAGAATGAAAGGAGGTTGGTTACAACTAGCGTGTAACTGTGCAGACGGGGTGCTGGACTGTGTTAGCAAAAACACACCTCTCTGCTTTGTGCAGATCTCCCTTTTTGTCACCATCACGAGGTCCGTTTGCCACGTTCCCACGAACACTGCACTGTTTCTTCCACTTGCAGGTAGACTCTTTGCAGTCCAACCTGGAGGACACAGAACGCCGCTACAACATGCAGCTGCAGCAGATCCAGGGCATGATTGGCCCCTTGGAGGAGGAGCTGGCCAGCATCCGCTGCGAGATGGAGAGCCAGAACGAGGAGTACAAGATGCTGCTGGGCATCAAGACCCGCCTGGAGCAGGAGATTGCTCAGTACCGGTCACTGCTTGAGGAAGGACAGCAAGACCTTGTGTATGTACCCTGACAAAAGGAGGCAGCATTGTGCAAAAGCCCAAACAGTCGCAGAGACTGTCACAGTTTAGACTTGCAAAACAGGTTTTAAACTAAAATGAGGATAATCAGCCTTTTTAACCAATCACCTCCCAGGTTTGAGGTACAATGCATTTCTTGGCAAATCTATTCAGAACAGAAATTGTCTGAGAAAAATATCAGCACAGAAATTCTGAACTCCCGGCTTTGGGCTGGACAAGGGAAGCCACGCATGTGGCCTCGCTTTTACCCCAGTGCCGGAAAGGACCAGGAGTTCAGCAGATGGAAGTCACCTTGAAAAGGCCTGTATGGAGAAAAATCAAAGGTTTCAGTTGTCTTTTGATCTGTGTGGGGTTCCAAAAAGGAGAAGTACAGACAGGAGAAGTGCAAACTTGTGAGCAGTGCTTCTGAAAACAACGGCGCATCTGACTGACCTGTTATTCATGTTTTCTCTCTTCACAGAATCCCAGCAGGAGGAATAGGAGGAGGAATGGGAGGAGGAGGAATGGGAGGCGGCAGAATAGGTGGTGGTGGTTTCTCTGGAGGAGGAAGAGGAGGAAGTGGTAGCATGGGTGGTGGAATGGGAGGAGGAATAGGAGGGGGAAGCGGAGGAAGCTGCATCATTGGAGGAGGAGGAAGCGGAGGAGGAGGAAGGACCTCAGGAGGCGTCAGCAGTTCCCACTCCTACTCTTCATCTTCGCAGTCGCAGTCATGCAGGGGCGGTGGTGAAAGCCAAGGTGAGAACTCTTTCATGGGAACAGCTTGCCCAGTCCCATTCTTACTAATTGATCCGCTGTGCCAACATCCTCTCCTGTGGGCAAACAGTAGCAAGGATAAAAAAGCACTTCTGGAAAGTGCTAGATCCACTTTTATGACAATGTCTTTTGTATCCGTGTGCGAAGGACTGGTTCTGGTTAAGATACAGTTTCAGTTTTGGTTCGGTTTTGAGGATAATATCACCATGTCACGTAGTTAAAAACCTGGCTATAATTCTTTTCATACTGAGCTGAAGTTTTCCCTCATGCTTTTGGGAGAGCTTATGGTCATCTATCACATAACCAAGCTTCTTTGGTGCCACATGTGGTGCCTCAGAGATCAGCTGCCAGTGCTGAAGAAGTTAATGCTTTCTTTATCTCCAAACAGGTTACGGAAGAAAATCCTTTGACTAAGAACTGAGGATTCTACTGTGCAAGACCTGTCAAAGAGAAATCGGCCCAGCACCCCAGTATTCCTCAGGCTCCTGAGAAAGGAGATGCTCCTACCAGCTCCTTGCTGCTGCTGCTCTGCCCAAAGGGTCCGTCAGAGCCGCTCTGACAGGCCAGCTGCTGTGCGTGCCATGCGCTGCCTCTGCATAGAATGCTTGGTGGGCTCAATCACTTGAACTTGAACTGCTTGCTTTAAAGATTCAACCAGTTTGTTATTTGGTTGTTCTGTACGAGAAAAACTTCTCTAATAAAACTTCATTTCTGTCTGATGCAACCAGAATCCCATGTCTATGATTTCTTTTTCCATTCTGCAAATGTAAACACTTAAGAAAACAGAAAGCCATGCCAACACTTGCCTCCAGGCAGAAAGGCTGATGATGCACTGCAACTGCTGCTAATGAAATTTAGAGTTAAGGCTCTGTTTCTGAGTACCTGGGGCAGATTATAATCTTCTTGGAGCATCCTCTGCTGTGCCTTTGTTTTTCACGGAGCACTTGGTAGTGCAGCTGAGCTCTGACACTTGGCTGCAGTTGTGTCAGTCAGACTGCAGAATGGCAGCACGGCTGATAAAAGCGGCCTCAAATGAGTGTCCTCCTGGGCCTGACAGGGAGACATGAGCCATCACAGAGCCAGGACTGTGAAACAGAAGCAAAGTTTCGCTTTGTGGGTCAGAAATTCTTACCTGGCACTCATCAGTTTCAACTGGAAATGCACAAATGTGGTCTGCTTTTGAACTGAAGGAAAAAAAGAGGAAGAGAGGGAATATAACTCACTTCACATAACTTGAAGAAGATCCCTTCAAGTTAGTATTCACAGCAGAATTTGCCTTCTAGTTGTGCCAAATGAAGAACACATGAAAGTAACCAGAGTGTTTATTTTTGGTTATAGGAAGATCTGACTGTGAGGGACATTGCCACAAACTCCTCCACCCACATCCAGCCGTTACCTGCAGACGCCGCTGGCCGCAGACGCCAAGGCAGCCCCACAGCCCACCCACCTCAGCCCCCCTGCCTGCAGGCTGTGCTGCGGGAGCTGCGTCTGCACCTCCAGCTGAACGTGCTCCCTGTTTCTTCATATTCATTACTTCAAAGCAATTGCAGTACAGCAATTGAGACAGTTTTGATCATCAAAACAAAGCCGGCTGGTTTTACTGCAGCCCACCCCCAGGATAAAGCCCACTTCCAGAGACTTGGCTGGAAAAACAATTTCTCCTGCATCCTAAAAAACTCCAAGATCGAAGGAAATGAAGCACAGAGTTGGGCCCCCAGAGCAGTTGTGCACATTTCAGGAATCTCAGGAATTTCTTCATGAAGCTTCAGAGGAGAGAGCGCTGCTAAAGCATGCAGATCGTAAGCCAGAGCTTTATTGCTTGTAATGAGAAGCAAGCACCAGAACTCCTCAGAGCTGACTGAAAGACCCAGTCCATGGCACAGCCACCAGGCACTGCGAGCAGAAGCAGCTCAGGCCATGCAATCATCAGGGAAACTCATGGGGAGTGCAGGGGCAGGCGCTGTACAGCTCCAACTGCACAAGGCCTAAACTGTGGTGCAGGGCTGTGCTCAGGGAATGGCTTCCAATGGTGAACAGACACAGAAAATGTGCGTTTTGTGCAAGAGCAGCCAGCAGGACAGACTAAAAGCACAACAGGCTACAGCCCCACTGCCTTCAGCAGAGAACAGGAGGGAACTCGGCCTGCTGTGCTTGCAGAAGAAGAGCACATCGGGTATGGGCAGGAGCTCCCCTGATGGGAGCAGCAAGGAAACAGCAGAAAGTTCATAGCAACGTTCTCTGCCATGAGACACAGTAACACGTTTTTCAAAAGAATAACGTCCTCCAGTAAATGAAAATAGATTTGTAAATAGTTGATGTCAATTCCAAACCCGGTACTGAACAATGAGCCCCCTGCAGGTGGCTGCAGGCAGGAGGCATTGGGCACCCCTGCAGAAGGAAGGCAGGAGCTGGAACACCGAGTTTCACCACAGGGAAGGCCAAAGGAGAGAGACAAGCAAGGCGGAGCCTTCATTAACTTCCATTACTGGAGATATACTGTCAGATTAATAAAAGCTATGAGATATTACATTATCCAACAAAATATCTAACAAAGAGCCACCCACATGAAATTACAGTGCATGTGTGAATCAACACAGACATACTTGAGCAGAACAGTAATGCGTATTACTTTCCTATGACAAAATTCCCCTTAGCTCATCACTTTTGGCATGAGCGCTGTGGCTGGCA